GGTAACAGAACCGCCCACAAACAGTCCAATACCGACGCAGAATGCTGCAGTTAAAATCACCTGCTGGTTCAACGCAGTGAAATTTTGGCGCACATACTAAACTACTTGTGAACAAAAGACCGAACACATGCTGCGCAATTTGTTTCTCTAGAATTATTGAAATTATTACAGCATAATCGGAATTTTTATACTCTGCGGGGTACTCCTGGACAAACAGACAGTAAAATACCTTTAGCAGCTTTTTTTTTCATTTTGCGTTCCATCAGTGAGACAGGGAAGCCTAAAAAAGTGAGCTCTGATATATGTGTATGAGTTTGCTTGTATATATTTGCGTATGTATATATGTGTGTAGTGAAGCATTGTTAGTGATATATGCAAAACATTAAAACATGCTAAGGAACTGAAATATATAGAAAGAGCTAGATGAACAAAAATGTTTCGGCTCGTTGTTTAGCAGACATCCGTATTGAGCACGACGATTGCGAGTGCGGATATGTGTGTAGAGGGCAAACTTTTCAATTTAATTTTATGTTATTCAATTATATGCACGTGTTTACTTTGTATGCATATTTGAATGCATATGCATGTGTATGAATGCATATGTGTAATAAAATACGTATGCGTTCATGTGTTGTATGGGGTTGTGTTTGTGTGTCTATATTGTTTTTGCATTCCATTGCCGACCTGACTACCTAATTCGGCCCCGGTACTACATAAGTTAGGTTCATGACCGCTCCGATAGAATCTTGTGTTTGGTTCTCAACAGCAGTCCGCTGGATCCGTGCTGAAATTGCTGCCGTTGCCCAGCAGTCACATTTGGACAAGTCAAGCCACTTGTGACTGGTGCGTTGGCAGATGCAGCATTGGTCACCCCTACGCAGTTGACAACGGTGGTTGTTGGATGTTGCTCAGTTATGGTGTACTATTGACACGCATAACATTTTCATTTTACAGTGGTCAATAAACATTTGAAGGAAAGATAGTACAAGTTGTCCTTTTCATTAGGTCACTGAATATTTAGTGCGATTTTTGAAACGTTTATTCCCCTAACATGCTGCTGCTGCGGCATTCATTTAGCAAGAAGTTGACATGGCTTCCACATATGTTCGCGGAATTTTCTGTGTCGCCAGGAGGCGCTGAGGGACATGCGAAAAAAACTTCGATTTATTTGCCCACCCACGGGCTTTCGTTTTTTTTTGCATAACGATGTAATTGGATCTGCAGTTGAGACTGCTTGCCAGGAGGTTTCGATCCAGAGCTTAACGAAGGATGCGATTTTAGCCGTAGGTGCTTCCAGCGTACAGATATTTTCCACTGTAGCTAACGCAACTTTTGTGTCGGGCGTCAGCTTACAAACTATGAGTCGTTATTGTTATTGTGATGAGTCGTTATTATGATGACTATGAGTCGTTATTGTAATGACGTTATTTTGATGACGTTTTCCCACTGCGTAAGCGAAGTTTTTCCGCCTGTTGGAGCGGAGATCCCGTCTGTTCCTCAGTATACCAAGTTCCTGTGCATCGTTGCTCGTGAAGCTGCTCATTCGCTGCATGTTTTGTTTGTTCTCGCGCCTCCGTATGCTGTTAGTTTGGATCAGATGCATCAGGTCACGATGTGACCGTTACGCGTCTTCGAGTTTGGGGCTTTTTTCAAGAATTCTGTCGATTGTTGTACATTAACAAGCGTTATGCTACACCTTATCACTCAGCTGGGAATGGTGCAGTAGAGCGTACTTTTCGCACTTTTCAGAATGTGTTATCTAAATATATTACTGCCCAGAACCCTGATTTTGGTGAGTTCTTGCCAGCTATCACTTTTTGCTGCAACACATCTGTTCACGAAATGACCAAGGAATCACCATTTTTTCTGATGTATGGTGCCATTTTTTCTGATGTACGCAGCTTCAGCTGCTCTCCTTATTCAGTGATTATCATTGAGCATTACCGCTCACCAAGCAACACCAGTTGCTCTCAAATACGATATGAATAATTATTTCAGAGACAGTGCCAGCACATCGATCGGTACCGCACGCAGCATCAGCTGCTCACCAAAAATACTCCAGAAATCATTCAAACTCCGCGGCGACAGCCGCTCCCGACAGTAACGGCTCACGGCCTCTTGCGACGACAGTCGCTCACGGAAATAATTCCTCTAGTTTTGCGGCAACAGCCGCTCCAAATAATAACAACCGCTCAGCGATCTCATCGCCACCGGATCGCCATGGCTCCCGTACCTCTCGTCCTGCAGCATCAGCCGCTTCTTCATTCTCACAAAGCTCGCGACTATCGGTACGTGGCGGCACTTGTACCTCTCGATCCGCAGCGTCAGCTGCTCATCAAAACATAAACAAAAACAATCGCAGCCGAGTCGAATATAGTGTCCCCATCGCATTGGATCGCCAGGCTTGATACACAGTCATCCAAACCACTGTAGCACAAGCTACAGCCATACTCATGCCAGGTCAGTCCGCTGCAACAAATCAGACCGCCCCGGCCCTATTAGCTATCACTGAAGATACACAACTTCAGTTCTCCATTCCCTCCGTCGACACTCACCCCGACTATCGGAGTCTCCACATCTTCGACGAAATCATGGTCACCGACTATTTCGCTGTTCGGGCAGCCGGTGCTGACGTTCCACCCCAGTTCCTCTTACCTAACTTCCAGCTACAGGCCCACATCAAAGCGAACCACGTCAGGGCTTCCGCTACGATGGCCTTCGGCACAGTCGTTCACCGCCCTCTCTGCATTCAACCCGTTATTTCGGTGGTGTATCACTGCACCCTTAATAGGATGAAATCTGGGGCCCTCCGCCGAACA